CCGTCATTTATCACAACCACTACGCACTTCTGCCATCACACTTCAACACACTATCACCACCAACACACTGCTATCATCACCATCATTGGCATGATAATAGACTCAAATTTCATACACATATACAACAAATTTCTAAGAAAATTTCCAAGACTGTAGGCATACTATCGAAGATACGGTACTATGCTCCACAGTCAGCCCTCCTGGCCCTATATCACTCTCTTATTTACCCCTATCTCACCTATGGAATTTGTGCATGGGGCTCAACAACAAGTAACCATCTCAGACCACTAATTACCCAACAAAAGGCTGCAGTTAGAATGATAACAAATTCTCACTATAGGCAGCACACTCCACCAATATTCAATACACTAAACCTACTCACCATACAAAACATCCATACTTATTACTGCACCTATTACATACATAGAACACTTAACTCTGATATTAACCCTCCCCTCAAACATCTCCTTGCCAACCTCAACAGAACACATGACCATAACACAAGGCACAGATCACTCTTTGATGTTCCTCGTGTCCATCTCACACTATGCAAAAACTCAATGCACATAAAAGGCCCTAAAATCTGGAACTCATTACCTGTAAATATAAAAGAAACACTACCTGTTTATAAATTCAAGTCTCTTCTCAAAGATCACTTACTCACCCAAAACCAAATAAATACTGAATAACTGAACCTTATAAATTGTATATCTTAAATGTTTCTCACAATTATATCACATAAATGTTAAACCTAAAACCCAATCTAACTTTATTATTTTTTAAATACACTACCTAACAGAATACTCCATTCTACTGAATGTACAACAATGCATACAACCATATGACCTGTCTTTGTAATACTCACTTGTGCTTTATAGTAATCTGTTTACATTAAAGTTTTATCACTGATGTCATCATTGCTTAGTTCATCTTAAGTTAATTTTAAGCCAGCCCGTAATGCTATGCATAGTATAAGTGGCTTTGGCATGCTGCTCTTATCTGTATTTTTTGTACCTCTGTATGTGTGCTCAAATTTTTAAATAAATAAATAAATAAATAAATAAATAAATGTTTTCAAGGTTCTTGTTATCCAGCCAATCATTTTCCTGGTGGTTGTGTCAGTAACATTGTTTCTTGAACATTAGGTCCTCTTATATCGTCATTTCTAAATCCCTGGCATTCGTCTTCCATTCTTGATTAATCTGTTTTGTTTTTATATAGAGGGATGAACGCCCAGGCGACCCGGTGCCAGATAAAGCCGCCTGGTGGATCAAGGCTTGATCAACCAGGCTGTTACTACTGGCCGCACGCAGTCCGACGTACGGACCACATAGCGAAGTAACTGAAATTTGTCGTCTGTGGACCAAACATTTTATGTGCCCTACTGGAAAACTTGTCACATCGACATAGAAGTTAAGAGAAGTGCCTGTTGTAGTGATGACGGTGGTACAGTAGGGGAAGAAATGGTTGTAGTGTTAGTGGTGAAGTAATGGTGGCGGTAGCGGCGTGGGAGGAGGATAGTGGTAGTAAGGAGAGCAGTAGGCTACCCATTATTGAATGAGGCGTTGGGGGCCGCCCTGCCACATTATTGGGTTTGCTGGCCCACCGACGCGATAAGTGATATTACCCAATATTACAACCTTGGTGCATCACGGGAGAGACTTGCTCTGACGCTCTGCTACCATCATCACCACCGCTACCACCACTACAATACAGTAACCACCACTAAAACACATCCACCACCAATCCGCCATCACCGCCGCCACCACCACCGCCGCCATCACCGCCGCCACCACCACCGCCGCCATCACCGCCGCCACCACCACCGCCGCCCTCACCGCCGCCACCACCACCGCCGCCACCACCACCGCCGCCATCACCGCCGCCATCACCGCCGCCATCACCGCCGCCATCACCGCCGCCGCCGCCGCCACCGCCGCCGCCGCCACCACCACCACCACCACCACCGCCACCACCACCGCCACCACCGCCGCCACCACCGCCGCCACCACCGCCGCCACCACAATACACCCACCGCCACACCAAAGCCACAACAGCACAGCCACTAACACCACAACAACACGCTACTAACACTATAACAACACAGCTACTAACACTACAACAACACAGCTACTAACACTACAACAACACAGCTACTAACACTACAACACAGCTACTAACACTACAACAACACAGCTACTAACACCACAACAACACATCTACTAACGCTACAACAACACAGTTACTAACACTACAACAACACAGCTACTAACACCACAACAGCACATCTACTAACACTACAACAACACAGTTACTAACACTACAACAACACAGCTACTAACACTACAACACAGCTACTAACACCACAACAACACATCTACTAACACTACAACAACACAGTTACTAACACTACAACAACACAGCTACTAACGCTACAACAACCCCAGCTACTAACACTACAACACACAGCTACTAACACTTCAACAACACAGTTACTAACACTACAACAACACAGCTACTAACACACAACAACACAGTTACTAACACTACAACAACACAGCTACTAACACTACAACAACACAGCTACTAACACTACAACAACACAGCTACTAACACTACAACAACACAGCTACTAACACTACAACAACACAGCTACTAACACTTCAACAACACAGCTACTAACACTACAACAACAACAACTACTAACACTACAACAACACAACACTAACACTCAACAACACAAATACTAACACTACAACACACAGCTACTAACACTACAACAACACAGCTACTAACACTACAACAACACAGCTACTAACACTACAACAAACACGCTACTAACACTACAACACAGCTACTAACACTACAACAACACAGTTACTAACACTACAACAACACAGCTACTAACACTACAACAACACAGCTACTAACACTTCAACAACACAGCTACTAACACTTCAACAACACAGTTACTAACACTACAACAACACAGCTACTAACACTACAACAACACAGCTACTAACACTACAACAACACACAGCTACTAACACTAAAAACAACACAGCTACTAACACTTCAACAACACAGTTACTAACACTACAACAACACAGCTACTAACACTACAACAACACAGCTACTAACACTACAACAACACAGCTACTAACACTACAACACAGCCACTAACACTACAACACAGCCACTAACACTACAACACAGCCATCACCACTTCACAAAAACAAAGATAGGCTTATGTTATGGATGATGTAAAATGTTACAAGAGTGGTTAGGGAGGTGGCTACTTGAATTCGGTCCTGGTAGATGCATACTGAGAATAGGAGAGAGAGTGTACAGACCACATGAAATATATCCTTTGATGCTGCAGGTATCATACGAGGAAAAAAACTCTTGTTTTTCTAAGATCATGCTAAACATGTCACCTGAATTACATTTCACTGTCATATTGCATCCATAACGTCTGCCAAACTAGCAAACCTAAGGAATGCTTTCAGGAGTCTTAAAAAAAAAAAAAACATTCATTTAGTACAATATGCATTACTTGCGCTCATCCCATCTTGGATTATACAGTGCTAGCATGTAGGTTGCACCCGATAAACCCCTCACGGAAGGTTCCTTGAAGTTGGTGAGGGGGTCATGATTTAGGGAATTGGATCTGGGCTCCAGTTCCCCGAATTAAGCCTGAATGCCTTCCACATCCCCCCTGGCGCTGTATAATCCTACGGGTTTAGCGCTTCCCCTTGATTATAATAATAATAATAATAATGCACCCGATAAAAATTATTATTATTAATTATTAATTATTATCATTATCATTATCATTAATATAAATGAATATGCCATCCTTGCACATCCCTGAAAAAGAAAGATAAGGTATAATTAACAAGAGTGAGCAAACTATTTGCTGGACTTTTCCCAAGGATAAAATTCATTAAGCTTAACTAGGGAGTCACTTTTGTCTTGCTTTGTACAGCTGGGAGAAAAACTAAATGACGAATCTGAAATCTTGAGTGAGCAACCAGCCTAACCACACTGTATACAAGGACAAGAAATTAGTGATGCAAGTACATTAAAGAAGTTAGAGAGTGAACTTTGTAGAATTCCAGGGAACAGTAATATAGACATACTACAGTTAATACAGAACATAGACGGGCAAGTATGAGTGCATACAAATTGCATAGGCTCAAATGTAGACCTGGAATAGGGAACTGGTGGCCTGGGCTCAATAGTGATATAATGTGCAGGGTTCTGGGAAAAACTCTTATTTGTTCTTATTTGTGGTTAAAAAAAAAAGAAGTATCTGTACTTTTTCTGTCTCTTAAAAAAATCTCGTTTTATGAGATGATTTACGTATGTTTTGTATCTTGTGCTCGTTTTCAGTTCATTTTTTCCACATTTAAAATGTTAAAATTTGACGTCATTAATAGTCTTTCATGTATCATATGTCACTTGGCACATGTGTTTGCTCCTAATAACATGGCTGATGTGCAGTACATTATGTACTGTATCATGTGATTGTTATACATTATTCGAAGGAAATGTGCTTTGTCATTTAACAGTATGATATTGTACACTGTTGTTTGTTGCATAATGGATAGCTTTTGTATTTTTTATTTGTGGCCATAAATGAATGGGAAGGTTTCTAGTAGTATGGCCAGTGTTTCATGTAGACAAATACAGTGGTACCCTGAGTTTCAGACATACGTAATTCGTTCCAGAAGGCTGTTCAGGTGCTGTTACTGAACGAATTTGTTCCCATAAGGAATAATGTAAATTAGATTAGTTAGTTTCAGACCCCCAAAAATACACTTACAAAAGCACTTACAATAATAAACATAAATAATTGTTCTAGTTGGGAGCTGTACAAAACTTGGAGTACCACTGTGCTGTAATGTTTGTTTTCTGTTAATGTGTTGACAATTCCCATGTAACATAGTTGTACGTTTCCCATCTTAGTTAATGCATCGTGATATTTATCTTTGCAGTATGGCTCGGACGACTTCAATCAAGACTCTCCGCGATATACGTCACCCAAACCTGGTGGGCTCTATGGTGAATCTTACTTTATGGGTAAGTCATTGATCCTTAGCTTGTTATGAAGACAGACTATATAGGTTGGGCCTTTGAAAGAAGGTAACACATGTAAATGTAAGATTGATGCAAATCAAATACAGCCTCTCCTCACTTAGCGACATACTCGTTTACTGACACCGTGGACTTACGACGGGCTCTCTGACCAGTATTTATACCTAAATATGTGTAATGTATATTAGAGCTGATTTCCTCTATTCTGTTTTTCAGTATACAGTACACTACTGTATAAACATTGAAAAATATACCAGAAATGTTATAAATGGTGCAGAGGTGACACTAAAAACAATATCAGAGATGGTTGACACAAACCCACTAACATTATAGTATGCTCCTCACTTAGCAATGAATTTGTTTAACAACGTGGTCTTAGGAATGGAACTCCATCATTAAGTGAAGAGAGGCTGTACGTATATAAAAAAATGTTAACTGCTATCTTATGTTCAGTGTTTAGGTTATTCTTGTCATCTCACTTCACAGCTGTAATAATGATAAAATCTCATTAGAAAAGTGTCACAATTTTTTTCCAGATCGATCTATCTATCTGTTTGTCTGTCTGTGTCTGTCTGTCTGTCTATCTATCTATCTATCTATCTATCTATCTATCTATATATGCAAAACAACCACTCTGAAAGAATAGAGAAATACCAAGCGCTTTTGTGACTACTCACATTATCAAGGAATTGATAATGTGAGTAGTCACGAAAGCGCTTGGAATTTCTCTATTCTTTCAGAGTGGCTGTTTTGCATATTCTGAAATCACCTGTTTACTGTGATCTTATTGCATGCATGCATACATATATATATATATATAATATATATATATATATATATATATATATATATATATATATATATATATATATATATATATATATATATATATATATATATATATCCTAGGTAGTAGGTTGGTAAACAGCAACCGCCCAGGAAGGTACTACCGTCCTGCCAAGTGAGTGTACAACGAAAGCCTGTAATTGTTTTACATGATGGTAGGATTGCTGGTGTCTTTTGTCTGTCTCATAAACATGCAAGATTTCAGGTATGTCTTGCTACTACTACTTGCACTTACGTCACACTACACATACATGTACAAGCATATATATATATATATATACACACACCCCTCTGGGGTTTCTTCTATTTTCTTTATAGTTCTTGTTCTTGTTTATTTCCTCTTACCTCCATGGGGAAGTGGAAAAGAATTCTTCCACCGTAAGCCATGCGTGTTGTAAGAGATGACTAAAATGCCGGGAGCAAGGGGCTAGTAACCCCTTCTCTTGTATATATTACTAAATGTAAAAGGAGAAACTTTCATTTTTCCTTTTGGGCCACCCCGCCTCAGTGGGATACGGCTGGTGTGTTAAGATATATACAGTGCTCCCTCAATCATCCTGCCTGAAAGTCGTCCATTTCGGAAATAGTCCTGTTTTTTCGTCTAAATATTGGCTCGCAAATGGTCCGGTAACTCGCTAATAGTCCTTCGTCCCGGACGCGTACTCACGCTCTAAGCCGCCTTGGCCTTTCCTTCCCAGCCAGTGTGCCATTGTTTACCAGTGAGCGACGGTCCCCTCACGTGCTCCAGCGAAATATTTCATAATATTCCATTTATTTTAGTGCTTGCAAGTTATTTACGTGCTAAATAAGCTACCATGGCTCCAAAGAAAGCTCCTAGTGCCAAGCCTTTGGTAAAGAAGGTGAGAAATACGATTGAATTTAAGAAAAACATCATTGAACAATATGATAGTGGCGTACGTGTGGGCGAACTGGCGAGGATGTATAACAAATCCCGTACAACCATATCTTCCATCATAGCCAAGAAAAAGGAAATCAAGGATGCTGTTGTTGCAAAGGGGGTAAATATGCTGACAAAAATGAGATCACCAGTACTCGAAGATGTTGCGAAGTTATTATTGGTGTGGATAAATGAGAAACAATTAGCAGGAGATAGTCTTATGACGTTGCTTATTTGTGAAAAGGCTAGGCAGTTGCATGACGATTTGGTAAAGAAATTACCTGCAACTAGTGGTGATGTGAGTGAATTTAAGGCCAGCAAAGGCTGGTTTGAGAGATTTAAGAAGCGTACTGGCATACACAGTGTGGTAAGGCATGGTGAGGCTGCCAGTTCGGACCACAAGGCGGCTGAAAAATATGTGCATGAATTCAAGGAGTACATAAACAGTGAAGGACTGAAACCTGAACAAGTGTTCAATTGTGATGAAACAGGCCTCTTTTGGAAGAAAATGCCAAAGAGGACCTACATTACTCTGGAAGAAAATGCGCTGCCAGGTCACAAGCCTATGAAAGACAGGCTGACGCTAATGTTCTGTGCTAATGCTAGTGGGGATTTCCAAGTGAAGCCGTTACTAGTGTACCATTCTGAAAATCTCAGAGTGTTCAAGAAAAACAATGTTATGAAGAGTAAATTGTGTGTGTTTTGGAGATCTAATAGTAAGGTATGGGTCACAAGGGACATTTTCGTCGAGTGGTTCAATGAAGTGTTTGGCCCTAGTGTGAAGAATTACCTCTTGGAAAAGAAATTGGATCTCAAGTGCCTCCTAGTAATGGACAATGCACCTGCTCATCCTTCAATCTTGGATGACCTAATTCTGGAGTTTGGGTTCATCACAGTAAAGTTCTTGCCCCCAAATACCACTCCTCTCCTCCAGCCCATGGACCAGCAAGTCATTTCAAACTTTAAAAAAAACTACTCCAAAGCAGTGTTTGAAAGGTGCTTGAATGTGACCTCAGACACTCACTTGACCCTACGAGATTTTTGGAAAGAACACTTCAGTATTCTCCATTGCGTATGCCTTATAGGTAAGGCTTGGGAGGGAGGTTTCGAGGTTCTGACCTGAGGGTTGGTGAGGATGGGAAGGAAGGAAGGGGGGAGGAGGGCTGGAAAAATGGAAGAGGTTGGGAGGGTGGAGTAGGAGGTGGGGTAGCAGAGATGAGTGGCCTGTCCACTCTGGAGCTTGATGTGCAGAGGTACTGCAGGAGGTTGTACTGGAGCGAGATGTGCTGGTGGCAGCAGTGTCAGTAGAGTAGGGTCGGTACTCAGGTGCCTGGCAGGAGATGGCTGGTGGTGCCCAGGAAAACAGGGTCGTTTTGGAGCCACACCCCAGCTTTAGCTAAATAGCAAAGTGCTGGGGAACTTTGGTTGCTGGTTGGTGATGATTAGACTGCAGCTGTCGGAGCCATTTCTGACTGTGTTGAATTTTGCTCTTGAGAGGTGTAGTACCTTCATTTTGGAGTTGATGTGAATTTTATCGTTGAGGATGTCGAGTATGGATTGTAGGGTTGAAGGTGGAATTCCGTGTACGGTGTACTTTGCAGTGTTGTCTTGGAGTCGTAGGCCGAGTTCTGGGAAGGGCATAGCTCTGCTGTATGGTTTCATGATGTAGAACGTGGCATAGTCGTGTTTGAGGGTCTGAGCTGTTGCTGGTGGGGGTTGAGCTGAGTGAGTCGGGGTTTCTGATAGGTCAGTAGTATCAGGGGTGGCAGGTGGTGGTGGGTTCACATTGGTGGGTTCTTCTGAGGTCTCGGAGGTCTCTGGTTGGGCCAGCTCAGTGTCTGGTAGAGGTTGAGGTAGCGGTGGAGCAGCGACAATGTTAGTGACATTTGCAGTGGATTTGAGAATCTCAGTGGAAGGTGGTGATGCGGGGAATGTGAAACCCGGCATGTTGTTGAGCTTGAAGAGTTCGTTGATTGTGGTATTGAAGGAGCCGGGCTCAGCTGAATTCTGTACATGGGCATACATGATGCAGTAAAGGATTTTGGTGGAGTCACCAGCAGGGGCTGGCAGGGGAGTGGTGGAGGCTGCTTGTGTGGTTTGAAGCTTGGTGATAGTGGCATATGAGATTGATTGTGGGTTGGGCTTATTTTGTTGATGGTATTGTTTCTTGGCTATGTCTCTTCTGGTAGGGCATCTGGCTGCGAGAGTGTGGTGGTCATTCTTGCAGTTCAGGCATTTAGGTGGTGCAGCAGTGGTGCAGTTTTTGAAGTCGTGACCCTCGAAGCCACAGGTGGGACAGAATTTTTTGTCCTTGGCAGTGCAGTCTTTGATGGTATGTAGGTAAGAGTAGCAGTTGTAGCAGTGTGGGATTTGCAGGAATTTTTCTTCTTCGATGAAGGTTGGGTTGATGTGGAAATAGTGAATAGCCAGGCCCTCAGCTAGAGCTCTGGTTGCCATGTTGATGTCGCTGAAGGTCACCTTCAGCATGGACGAAGCATTGGGTATCTTGGTAATGTAGTCCACCTTAGCCCAGGGGTTCTGTGCCTCAATGGATGATTTGATTTCTTCAGTGGCCTGTGCAGTGATGAGGTTGTAGAGTCGCTTGAGGAATACAGTTCTCCTGGCCCTCCGAGCTGGGGAAGTCGAGACAAGGAATCCCTGGTCTCGTAGAGTGGTGGTAGCAGTAGTGGTGAGTAGTTTCTCGGCCTCTGTGTCACCAGTGCAGACGACAACAAAGGCCTCTTTGAGCGATAAAATCGTATTACATTTGACCTGCAGTCTGCCACTGACGACAGCTGCAAGTGCTAGTTTGGACAAGTCGTTGACTGTCCCACTGACAGGTTTGATCTTTACCCTGTTAGAGTAATGCATCATGAGTAAGCAGTGTTCCCCTGTGGGAGGGAGTGACTACCAGGACTTCGAACTCTGCTTGGAGAAAATTGTGGCCAGATTGTGTCCACAAGAGGGATTTTGAAGGGTTTGAGGCAGCCCCTGATGAGCCTATGTCAGTTGTAAACTCTATTGTTGCACTGGGGAGTTCCATGGGATTGGATGTGAGTTTGGAGGATGTGGAAGAGTTGGTGGAGGACCACAACGAAGAGCTAACCACTGAGGAGCTGCAAGAGCTTCAGCAGGAAGAGCAACAGATTGCAGCTCAGAATCTTGCTGCAGAGGAGGAGGAAGAGACATGGAGGAAGGTGCCTTCTTCAGAAATTAAGGAGATTTTTGAAATGTGGGGTAGGATGGAAAGATTTATGGAGAAACATCACCCAGAGAAGCATGTTGCAAGCCATATCGGCAACTTGTACAGTGACAGAGTCTTGGCTCATTTTAGGGAAGTTTTAAAGAGATGCCAGAAACAGAGCTCTCTGGACAGTTTTTTTGTGAGACAGGACTCCAGTGACTCTCCAGGTGGTCCTAGTGGCATTAAGAAACAGAGAAGAGAAGTAACCCCAGAAAAGCAATTGGTACCTGAGGTGTTGATAGAAGGGGATTCCCCTTCCAAACAGTAAATCATCCAATCTTTCTCCTTCTCCAGTCTTCCATACACAAAGAAGAATCGCCAATAAAGGTAAGTGTTATTCCGTTAATGTTTAATTCATCATGTGCCACTATTGTTTATGTACTACATCTATATATCATGTAAAAATTTTTTTGTTTTAATACTTCTGGGTGTCAGGAACAGATTAATTGAATTTACATTATTTCTTATGGGGAAAATTTTCCCCATAAGAAATAATGTGT